TTTGTTGTCAAACATCACTCAGTGACTATAACTTGCCACATCCTAAAGCCACATCTTGACTGTGTCTACAGCTATGATATTGTGTAGCTGGACAAGATTCACAATAGGCAAGACAAGTTGAACTGCTACTACAAATGACATTGTCCAACCAAATAGGTTGAGAGCTAGACCCAGCACTATAATGAAGAAGAAATATGCTAATTTAAATAATAGCTAAAATACTAACAATGAGCTTCCAGAATGATATGAATAGTAATCACTGTATCCTAACTGACGGCAGGCAACTCTAGCATCAGTTGCATCAAAGCTATCATCACATACTGTACCCCACTGTCCATTACAATATACTTCCAGTCTACCATAACTTGAATAAGCACCTCCTTGTAGACGAATCTGTCCAGAATAAGGATTATTCCAGATTCTAGTAGTATCTGTATGTTAATAAAAAGTTGATGAAATATTATTGTTACCTGATGGACTATTATACTTACAGCATGATACATATGCATCATAACTGTTACTGACACAATAGGATTTAATAACTGTTGAAAGGTTGCACTGCTCAAGTGTCAAATAGCTACTACTAAAACAGTTCACATCATCAACAATTGTAGCAGCAGTATCAGTCCCATAGCTACAAAAAAATGATTATCAATCAAAATATTTTGCAGACACATGAGTCCTTTTGAGACAACATTGTTTGCATAATTATAAGTGAAAAAGAAGTAAGTTTTAATTCACTAGTTGATCATTGTTTGTGAGAAGGGAGTACAGGCATATGTGATTTAAAAACTATGACAATAATAATAATAATAATAATAATAATAATAATAATAATAATAATAATAATAATAATAATAATAATAAAAACTGCTATATACTCTTAGCATAAGGTTAGGGTGTGAATGCCAATAGATAAAGTGCATATAAACATGCACATAAATACATGTATTGATGTACTGTAATTTAATTAAGGCCACATTACCTTGATGTGCTACCAGCTCTACCATAACTTGATGCTCCATTATACCCCAACTGGTTACAAATGACACTAGCTTCAGTGCTACCAAATGAAATATCATCGCAAATGTTGCCCCATCTGTTACTGGAGAAACTTGAACCGTAATAGATCTCAACTATTCCAGCTGTATAGGATGATGAGAAAACTCCATTTCTAACAAGTCGAACAGTTCCACGATCTACAATTATAAAAAAGTGTTACCGCAATTATCAAGTTGGGTAAAAATTGTAAAACTAACACTATAACAGGCAAGAGTAAATAATAGGGTGGCTAATATCGATTTTGATTTCATTCTGGACATATTATCACAGTGCTCAATCACATGCAAACAGTTCCAATGTGAAATTTACTGATCAAAAACATTTGACTTGCCCCTGCAAGGTTCCCCTAGATACATTTAGCTATTATACTTACATTGGCCCTGAACAGCACATATCAAAGCCACAAAGAGAGCAAAGATACTAAGCAACTTCATAATCAGCTTGCAATTGCTAGACCACCAACAGCAGCTATATTTAAAGCAGAAAAACTAAAAGATAATAATACTTTAACTATATATTTATAAT